CTTAATTAATTTATGACTTATATTAATCAAATAATATTATTATTCCTTATATTATTCTCATAATATATTAATAATATCTCTTCTCTCTTTACAAATCACCTTGTCAAGTTGCTATGGTGAAGGCAACCCAAAAGGACCATGCACAACCGGGTCAAGTATTTACCAAATATAGTTACAGCCTTAGACACTAACCCAACATCATTCCTCCAACTCGACAATTTACAAACTGAATGATTCACGGTAAACCCTAACCCTAACCCTAGAGTCTGTTCTTGGGACTCGGCGATTTCATGCCATGCTCAACAGAAATGACCTCCTGAGGTCATATCTGTTCCTCTAACCCATAGATCTGACCTCCTTGAGCAAAATAAACACATAAAGTTTAGATCTTGATGCCCATACAAAGACCTAATGGCTCTATTTGAAGAAATGGCCTCAATATGCCATCCAAAGCTCATATCTCTCAATGACACTCAATAAATATCAAGGATTTAAGGTCTTTGGACCTCTTTGGATCCAGATCTGAAGCCTCAACATAAGAAGGGACCAATTGCTCCACAATTCATACTCTAAATGGGCTAGAAACCCTAACTCTACAAGATTAACACCAAAACTGAATATGGATCGAATATATACCTCAATATGAAGTCTCTAAGCTCTGAAATCCACAGAATTCTTCTTGCAAAAACACCCACACAAGGATAAAAAATGGCCTCTTCTTCCTCACAAACGCTCTAGATCGCTTAGGGTTTCACTCAAGGGTCTGGTAGCCGCAAATGGTGGCTATAAGCCCCTTTAAATAAGTCTCAAACCCTGGGAATTAGGGCTTCATTAAATAGCACGGGCTCGCCGAGTCCACTAGTCGACTCGCCGAGTCCGATCATTAACCCGGATAGAATTCGCGACCCTACTCGGCGAGTATAAGCATCAACTCGCTGAGTCCCTCCAAAATCTCCAAAATAAATGAATAAATAATGTACCTGGGAATCCGGATGTTACAAAAAAGTTGTAAAAAACTAAAGTTATGATTAAATCATAACAAAGTTCTGAAATCTAGGCCAAAAGTGTAATGTCCCAAAATTCAAGACTAAAAAATTTCTTTTAATAAAACATTACTTAAATCAAGATCATCAAACCAAAACATAATTAGAGTATTAATTTCCAAAACACATGTTCGTTATCAGAGTAAAACATTCCCAGACTGTCTAATCTATGGTGTGTGCCATGCGATCACCCCGAGCTCTTCCCTCCGCTACCGGAAGTACCTGAAACCAAAACTAAAAACCATAAGCACGAAGCTTAGTGAGTTCCCCACCCTACCACATACCATGTATAACCACATACTGCACATATTGGGCCATGCCTGCTATCCTGGGCCTCGCCCCTGCCTCGGGCCTCCCCCGATATAACGGCCCCGCCTGGCTTCGAGCCCCGCTCGGATACAGATCTGGTTCACTTAGGCCTCGCCTGTCACAGGGCCTCGCTCGCTAACATATAATAGCACATAAACATATCACATCACATAGCTAAACACATACTAACGGATCATGTCCTAAGGCCTCGCCTGTCTCTAGGCCTCGCCCTTGTCCTGCTACTGATGAGTCATGGAACCCCGTCCATACTCTTGTTGATAATGAGGTACGGGTCCAGCCCACACTCACTCCTTCCCTAACTTGGGCCTCACCCCTGATCTGCTGCTAGTGAGATGTGGAACACAATCCACACTCTGCTATTGGTGAGATACGGGACCTCGCCCCCACTCACCTCCCTACCAGGCACATACAAGTATCACATAGACAAAAAGTATAAACTATCACATAAACCCTTCATTGGGCGCCCGCCCGCTATCGTTGGACCTCGTCATGAATATCATACTAGCATACTGTGCCTAGGGCTAACCCCCGGGCCTTTTACTCATAACTACATGGGCCGACATTGTGGCCGTAGACCCATTCACACAAAAGGGAAACTCACCTCGAACTATTGAACTTGCTGATAACCTTCTGGATGCTGACCCATAATTCTCTGAACCGCTGCTCCGCTAGCTCCCCGAGCTACCAATATTAATACAACACTTAGCCTAACCGACTTCTCAAAAGTCAACCAAGTCAACCCTATCAAAGTCAACCTTCCAGGTCAACCCTACTCGCCGAGTCTACCTACTGACTCGCCGATTTCATATGCTCAAAGTCCTTCCTTTTGCAACTCGACTCGCCGAGTCAGTCCATGATTCGCCGAGTCTACCGATTTCCGAGTCCTGACCTGTCCAACTCACCGAGTCTCCACTCGACTCACTGATTCGAGTCTCAACCCGAAGGGTTTGGGGTTTTGCGACCTGACTCGCCGAGTCCAAGAACAGACTCACCGAGTCCAAGGCAATCTTCAACCGACTCGACGAGCTATTCATCCCACTCGTCGAGTTCCTCCTAATCTTCATGCTACTCGCCAAGTCCACTCAAAGGACTCGCCGAGTCCATTCAGATCTTCATACATGCAGAGGGCTTTTGAGTCATGCATGGACTCCAAACTGTAAATCTACCCTTCCCAAGCCTATTCCTCACGTAAAGTTGCAAACTTAACGTGTAGAGAAGGAGATCTAGGCTAAATACACCATGAACTAGGGTTTAAGGCAAGGAGGCTCTATAATCAACTCAAGGGAAGTTACTTTATGCTTCACAAGGCCAAAATGTGCTTAGATCCGAAGTAGCAACTTCAGATCTGGCTTCTAACTCAAAAGGGGTATCTAGACATGGCTTGAAAAGCCCCAAAACTCACAACTAGAATAGATCTAAATGAAGGAACCAACTTAATACCTTCAATAACTCAGAAAGGTTCCACAAACTCCAGATCTAAGGCCAATCCTTGAAGCTTCAATGATTCCCCTCTTTCTTCTTCCTTCAAATCACCCAAAAATGGCTTGGAAGCTTGAATGAGCAACAATGGGGCTTAGGGTTCGATATTCTGGGTGAGAGAGGCAGTAAAGGAACCCTAGGGGAAAGAATGAGGCGTTTAAATAGGCTCCAAGTCCCGGATTTAGGGTTTTCCTCGTTCAGACCAGACTCGCCGAGTCTCCTTGGCCGACTCGCCGAGTCGGTCACTTACTCCTTGACCCGGATCCCGCTCGGACTCGCCGAGTTCCTCCTTGGACTTGACGAGTCGTCCCTTAAACTTAGGGTTTCCTTTCCTTTCTTGGCCTTCCTGACTTTGGGTGTTACAAAAAGGGGTAAATTTTGGAGCAAATTTGTAAAACAAAAAAAATTAAAATCTAGGCCAAAAGTGTTAATTTTGGACCAAATTTATATTAAAATTTAAAATCTGGGCCAAAAGTGTAAATGTTGTAAGTTAGATGACCTATTAGCCAGATAAAGGGTTAAATTGAATACGATTACTGGTTTTTGGGATTTAATTGAATAAAAAAATATAAAAATTAAATTGATTATGAGACCAATATTTAAGAATTTTTTTACACTTATCCATTTACATAAATAGGTCAAGTTCAGGGTATGTCTAGTTTTATCTCAGACAAATTGAGTCCAAGAAAGCAAGATGTACTATTATTTGTTTCTTTAAGATGCCAATTGTCAAGCTATGATGGAGGGAATGGAGGGGTTGTTGGATGCCTAGCCCCCTCGAGTACAAATATTCGCTTTATATATTTAATCAAAACCCAGTAGACCATCATTTAATATATATAAGGTCATATAGTAATATAAAGTGTCTAAATTGATAAGCCCATTTGTTAATTTAATAAACTATAATCACAAAAAGCCTAAGGGAGGAGGGAGTCGTTCCCATTGAACCCACTGAACCCACTGTCACATCAGCTTTTCTTTTTGATTTTTCTTCATCTTTGCGAACCCATAACACACGGAAATCCTATCTTTTTCAACCCACTCAATTAAAAAAAATACTAAACAACTAAGGTACAAGTCTTAAAACATATGGTACAAGAGAAAATGAGAGAGAGAAAGTAGAGAGAGAGGATGAAGTGGGTTCGTGAAACCAATTAAACAACCCGCCAAAGAGGGAGTGGTACCGGCGGTAACTCTATTGCTAATTAAGATTTTACCTTGATTATTTTGTATATATTTTTTTAATTGAGTGGGTTGAGAAAGATAGGATTTCCGTGTGTTGTGGGTTCGGAAAGATGAAGAAAAATCAAAGAGAAAAGTTGATGTTACAGTGGGTTCAGTGGGTTCGGTGGGTTCAATGGGAACGATTCCCTCCTCCCTAAGTAATATCTTATTTTAATTTAATTGCGGAGTTTAGAATTAAACCTAGCCACACAGATACATATGTCATGTCCACTTTTAATTAAACGAGGAGTTCTACCGCTATGGTAATCAATCAAGGTAACTATTAATTTTTATTGCATCTAGTTTTTTTAGTAATTTGTAATTAATAATAATTTCAATTCGTTAGTAACCATTTGTTTATTAATAATGTTTGTTAATCGATTATTCATTAAGAGTTCAAGACAATTCATAGTTATTTTCTTTGGTTGAGGAGGTTAATTTCCAGTTAATAAATTATTTCTTGCTATACTTTTGAAGATTTAGGTTAATGGAGACAAAATTTTATTTCTTGATGATTTTTTTTTTTTAAATTGTGGACCTAATACTTAATTCATATATAACATTATGTTTTTATATATTAATACGATACAATATTGTCATTATAGTTACTTTTATTTGTTGAGAAAGTTAATTTTCATTTAACAAATTGTTTCAACCTTTTGAAGATTTAGGTTAATGGAAACAAATTTTTAATTTTTTGTGATTTTTTCTTTTGACCTATTATTTTCTTCATATATAACATTATGTTTATGTTTTAATATATTATTGTTATTGTGATGCAAGGCTCTCATCCTCTCTTATTCCTAAATCCTTCCCTCTTATTCCAAAATTCGGGGGCTCCGCCCCTAAGACCAAGTAAGAATTGTTTTAACTGAATAATAACATATCTTAAATAAAACAAATTTAAAAAGTAAACAAACAAAATAAGCACCATCAAATGAGGAAGCTAGCATATAATTAAAACTAAATCTAAAATCATCAAGGGGATAATAATAACATAAACATCCTCAGATCATCAAGAATTTTATTAAAAGTGCAAAAAAAAAAAAATCGCGAATATTAGTCTTATCTATCAACTATAAATAAAGACGTGAAACTCCACTCCTTCCATAGTAAGCCTCAACCTAACCTTTTTCCTCATTACACCTACAGTATATATCAAAAATACAAAAGGTTAGGCTATAATAACCACTGAGATATGCTCTAAAAAATCCAAAGTAAAAATTAGTATCCATGTAATCGCAAGCTATGTCCTCTATCACGATCTTGAATGAAACTATCCATGGAATCGTGCGCTGTATGAAACATAGGTCATTGCCGTTCTTAACCGATATATATATATATATATATATATATATATATATATATATATATATATATATATATATATATATATATATATATAAAATAAAAAACTTTTTTTCATATGCACATGGTATGTTAAAAAAACCCACATTTTTTTACACACACACACACACACATATATATATATATATATATATATATATATATATATTAGGGTAAATTACACAATTCGTCCCTCGTGCATGTGCCGAAAAGCACGTTTAGTCCCTATTTTTAAAAATTAACTCAGATGGGTTGGGGAAACTGAGAGTAGGTGTTGACCATGAATGCCGAGAGAGAGAGAGAGAGAGAGAGAGAGAGAGAGAGAGAAGAGAGAGAGAGATGGTATTTTGCAACATAACTGAGAGAGATAAAGATAAGAGAGGGTTGTTTTTTTTTTTTAATTTCTTTTCTGTTAAGTTATAAATAATAATAAATAATATTATATTAGTTAAAAAAAATAAATATCCAAGAGCATTATGGTCATTTTAAATGTGTCGCGGACTACATTTGCAACAAAAAAACATATTAGGGACGAAGTGTGCAAGTTTTAAGCAAACGAGGGATGGTCCGAGTTAATTTTTAAAAATAGGGACTAAACGTGCTTTTTGTCGTCTACCCGAGGGACGAATGGTGTAATTTACCCTATATATTATTGTGAGACTAAAAAAATATGTGAACTTGCGACTCATAATCAACTCATCATTTTTCAAAACCACAGACATCAATCTTCTCCAAATGGTGTGTCTAAGCCATACATATATGCTAAAAAAAAAAAGATTTGACAAAATTTTTTATTTATTTTTGAAATTTGCATGTATGCACAATCAGCACTCATATGTAGTGCCGAATCAGTAGTCATATGGACAATCAGCAGTCATATTGACTGCGGATGTGCACAATCAGCAGCCATATGGACTACTGATGTGCAACCAGTATTGCATGACTGTTGATTGTGCTTATCTGTAGTCCATATGACTGCTCATCAACAATCATACAAAAAAACCAAAAAAAAAATTGTCAATTTTTTTTTAGCTTAAATATGACTTAGACGCATCATTTGAAGAAGATTAGTGTTTTTGGTGTTGAAAAATAATATGCTTATTATTAGTTCACAAGTTCTCCCAAATCTTATATATATATATATATATATATATATATATATATATATATATATATATATATATATATATATATATATATATATATATATATATATTGGATTAGGTGAGGGCTCAAAAATAAGTGAAGACTGCGAGGACAAATATTTGTTGTAGGATTGAAAAAATAAAAGGTAAAGATTTGATTTTAGTTATCGTCAATATATCTCACAAGATGATATGACGTTTTAAAAATTATATGCGAGATATTGATAATCTTTGACAAAGGTTAATTGTTTGAAGCATAATCATAAAATTTTGATAAAAAACCAAAGTTCTTAAATTTTAATTTTTTTACAAAATGAGCACAATCATGAAAATTTGAAAAAAAAATATTTTTTTATGTTAAGTTATATTAGTAAAAATAGCTACTTTTAAGTTAAATTCGCTGAAAAAGAAAAAAGTTTTTTTAAAAAAAAAATATTCAGCGATTTTTACTTATGTAAAGTAAAAAAAAAAGATTTGTGATCTCAAAGTATTTTTTATGCAATTCTATATATATATATATATATATATATATATATATATATATATATATATATATATATATATATATATATATATATGGTTCAGTCAAAATTACACATAATTTTCCTATTTTTTTTTTATTTTTACACTCAAAACATCCATGTTGTAAAAAAAATTGTTACAACTTTCATCCCTCGCAGGTTCAGTCAAAATTGCACATAATTTTCCTATTTTTTTATTTTTACACTCAGATCATCCATGTAAAAAAAATTGTTAGGGTTTTCATCCCTGGCAGACATAAAAAGTCCAAACCACCCTTTCTAATTTTTTACCCTTTTCTTATAACTAACTTTACGTTTTATGATACTATTAATTAGAGTGGTCCCCACCCAACACCCTTTACCAACTCCTCTCCTTATTTCTCTTTGTCGCCCCATCGCCAACCCTACATTAGCCATCATTATCTCTTTCTTTCCTGTATGGCATGAGCCCTACTTCAATTTCTGGATTTTGATTTGTGGATTGCAGTTCACCAGAGCCAGGTTTCATCTGGTTTATGGATTCGATTCGAGGATTCGAGTTCATCAGGAGGAGGTAGTGTTTGATAGAGGAGGTGGTGTCAATGGGAAAAAAAAGATGGGTGTGGGGTGGTGGGTGGGACCCACATGTTTTATTAAACAACTTTCTTGATATATTAATATAAACAATAAATAAATTAGAAAAAAATAGATAAGGGTAAGTTGGTCTTTTCATCTATGACTGGGACGAAAATCGGTTACAAAAAATACTACAGGACCAGCGTAAAGAAAAGGATAGGACAAGGACGATTTAAGTAATTTACTCCATGATTTATTTAAGTTGTTGGAATCATACTACCTGCCTGTAAGAGGGAGGGTCTATTGGGTGCATGCAAGTTGAAGTTGGTGCTCATATGAAATCACCAATAATCTGCACAGGAGCAATGTCCATCTTGGAAGTTATGGAAATGGTAGGCGTCTCTCACCGTTATCAGCCTTTTTGAGACTTTTGAGGTTAATTTCATAAGATGGTGGCAACCGCTACATATCCTTCCCGAGGCCTTTATGATACAGATCGGTGCCATGTCATGTGTCTCAAATATGGCATAAGCTATCGCAAGTGCTTCGCTGTGATAACTATCATAATCTCCCTTCAATTTATCCTCAACATAAGCATCAGGCTCCTTTAAAAAAAATTGAAGACAACTAAGAAGAACCTTCATCATTTTATGACCCTCAACAAATTTTTGATCTCCATCCCCCTTGTGTACCGAAGCAAACACATATGTTTTATCCTTGATTTCCATCCAGCTACACCCGCGCTCTCCCCTTATTTCCATCACTTCACGCACTTGTGCGACTCCACAACACTTGCTCACCTTAGTTGCCATGTCATCAGGGATCAACTCTGCAGCTCGGATGCCTAGAGTATAGTTTCCATGAGCATGACAACCAGTGAGAAAGGTACTCCAAGCAAAGGCATCCCATTTACTTGGTGTTGATACAATGAAACTTAAAGCTTCCTTTAGTCGTCCACCCTTGATTAGCATATTAATGATACACATATAGTGCTCTAAACCAGGTTTCACACCCTTCTGTTTCATTAACTCATACAAATAGTACAACCCTTCTTCCACATGTCCACTGGCATTAAGAACACCAACAAAAGTCTCATAATTAGGATCCTCCCCTGATTTCAACATTTTTTTAAACAAAGCCAAAGACTCGTTACCAAAACCATGAAGGGAGTATCCGCATATCATCATATTCCAGGTTACAATATCACGATAATTAGTCATATCTAAAAACACCTTTTCTGCAGCTTTAATGTCGCCAGTCCTAGAGTACATGTCAATCAAGGTATTCTCGACATTCTTATGACCATTGAATCCAGTCTTCACTGAAAGTGCATGTAACAACTTCCCGCATCTCCTAGAGAATAACTTTGAACTAACAGTGAGTAGAACAAAAAATGTAGATTCATTTGGGACAACATCCTTATGTCGCATTTCTGAAAACAATTTTAACGACTCTTCGAAAGACCCATGCTCCAAGTAAGAAGCCAACATTGTTGTCCATATAACCACGTTTCGAGATTCAAACCTGTCAAAAACTTTTCTAGCACTTACAATCTCTTTACATTTCCCATACATATTGATCACTACATTGCATACAGACTCATCAGACTCAACATCACAGCTCTTTAAAAGCTTGTTGTGAACTTGACGCCCCAAGTTCAAATCTTTAAGCCGAGCACAAAGACCAAAAATACCAATATAAGTAGCATTGTCCCATGCCATATTTTCAGCCAATATTCTCCTCCTTAAGATAATCAATGCCTCACCCAAGTAACCTTTCTCAACAAGTCCATCCAAGATCAGATTATTATCCAATTGCAATCCAACTGGGTTACAAAGTAAAACCTCCATAGCACCTACCACGTCCGGCAACATGGAATACAAGCTTACAAGTGCAGCTTTCACGTACTGATTGAACACTAATCCAGATTTCAACAGGTACCCATGACACTGCCTGCCTAATGAAAGGTATCCAATGTTTAAACAAGACGAAAGCACCAATCCAGATATATACTCGTTAGGAGGCAGGCAAGACTCATCATGATCTGAAACCATTGATTTAAACAATCTAACAACTTCAAAAGCAAACCCATTATGGTGTGCAGATCCTAGTGCTTCACATTTTGAGTAAACATCAATCAGATTCAGATCAGGTGTATTATCTTGAGACCACTGGTCAGACACTATGAAAGGAGCATGAATTACTCTGCTGAACTCAAGGTTTTTAGTCCTGCCTAAGTATCTTAGGAACTTAACATTTTCCTGTCGAAAAAGCATAGGGAAAAGTGGAGGCCACATCAGGACTGACATTACTATAAACCACCACCGATCCTTGTTTAATACTGCATAAATTTTGACATTGATTAGATATTTTCCACGCAACTGTAAGAACTTAGGTTAATCATTGTTGTTTATTAGGCCACCATATCAAACTAGAATCTACTTGTCTCAAATTAATGATTCGGTTTCTTCAGCTTGAAATTATGATTCACTTTCTTATATCAAAACAGCTACATAATGAAAATGCTTATATATATATATATATATATATATATATATATATATATATATATATATATATATATATATATATATATATATATATATATATATATATATATATTCAAATGCTGGTACTAGATTTTGCAAATTCAGATATCTGAAATTTCTATCTTTTTCGTCAATAGAAATTCTGGTGTATCAGGCCCCTGGTTGTTGACAATCCAATAGATGTATTTGATGAAAAGTATTTAGTCCTAAACTGATTTCATAAAGCTAATAGTTCTTACAGACTGACTGTAAACAGATATAACGTGGCAAAACCTAATAAAGATTCAACTTTTTAATCTTCCAGCGGGTAAAAACCGATATTTACAACCAGTTAATTCAAAAAAACACGAACATTAAGGAAACAAGTTTTGACTTGTATCACTTACAGCAAGCTTTAACCCACTGTAAACCATTTACCTAAAAATTCAAAAAGCAACAAACGACAACACTAAATAAATATATGAGTGTAACAACCAGTTAATCCAAAAGAATCACAAAAGCCTTACCCTCGACAAATGCTTATAGATGGAAACAGAAGTACCTGGGGGCAATAGCAGGATTATGTACTTAAATTCGCACCATTTTTGCTGGCATACACACACGCATCCCTAAAGAAAGAAGTGAAAATCGTAGATTGAAGGCAGTACGAAAGCCAAGTGTCAAGCGAAATTGAGAAGGCAAGAAACAAGAACACCAAAAGAAAGACCGAAATTGAAAAGCGATAGTGAAATTCTACCCTAATTGAAGCTTTTATAATGACCGTAAAACTTACATTAAAACTTGAGTTACATTTTTGGTCCCTATGGTTACAACAATCTATATTTGTCCAACATTTAAATGAAAGACATAAATCATCCATAGGTTTCCAAAACCTACACAAGTGGTCCCTGAAACTACTCCCCTCTTGGATGCTCTCTAAGGGTGTTCATGGAGTGGTTCAGTTCGGATAGTAATAAAATTATGAACCATGACCACGGGACGGGTACATCATGCGCACTAATCAAAACTGAACCGTATTGACAAAAAACCCGAACCGAACCGAACCGTATGAACACGGTTCAGTTCACGGGTACCCGATAAGATATAAAAATTTAAATTCAATTGAAACTACAAACTCCATTTTAGTTATCTCTTTCTTAAAATTAGTAAGCCAAAGAGTTAAAAAAAACATAATGAAGTTCAAATATCATATATTATAATTTGTATAATAAATACAATAATAAAAATAACAAGAAAATCAAATAAATTTAAAATTACAAAATTGGAGTTGTCGATATGGATTTTTGTTTAGGTTATTGGACTCGTAGATCAATCAAAACAATACTAATGAAATAATATTTTTTTTTAATTTGTATATATATATATATATATATATATATATATATATATATATATATATATATATATATATATATATATATATATATATATATAATCAAACGGTTCGGTTCAAGTATCCGCGACAAAATATTATTGCATGTTAACACCCTTAAAAAGAGGCAACACCAAATAACATATAACAACACTTTTTAGTTTCTATTTTTTTAATGTTTTTAATTTCTATATTTCCAATTTCTTTTCTTTTTTATTTATGTCATAATATTTATAATTATCATATAATTTAAATCATAAATTAAAAATAACATTTAAAAAGTAAAAAATAAATTTTAAATCCTAAATTAAAAACAACATAAAAAAATTACAACTATGGATAAAAAAATTTAAAAACCTAAAAACCAAAAATAATAATAATAATAATAAGACGAAAGAAATTACATTTTTGACTTAAATTATTTATCTTCAATGTCATCGTAAATATGATCTGCCAAGTCTTTTCGAATCTGTTTGTGTTTTCGTTAGTCTTGAATATCAACAATTTTATATAAGTATTCTGGTGTCCCTAGTTGAAATTGAATGTGTAAAAAATCTTTCGTTTTCTTTTCCTTTTTTAATGTCTTACTGTCATTATAACTCTTAATTATGCTTATCATCCTCCCGAGGAACCCCATTCATCTTCTTCATTTAATCAATTATGTTCATCAAAAACAATAGAATCAAAAATTTTAAACAAAAAAATCAAGCAATCAGGATGTTTTAACCCAACATGGAATATTCGAAGCTAGTAAATTGAGGTGGATGCTAATGTTTGCAGTAAGTTTCAAACAACATTCTTTAGGCTTAAATCGTTGAAAACGAGGGTTTTTTGTTGACTTTTTTTTTGTTTATTTAGAGAGGGTATTCCAAATCTTTTTAACAATGCAAATCAATCATGGTGGTTTTTTCTCCAAAACTCTTGGAAGAAGGTACTTAGATATAAATCTAACATATGTGGACTATGTTGACATCGACGAGTTCTTTGTAAATGAACTCAATGGCACGATGAAAGAAACATGGCATGTTAAACATGAATATATGTATTACCATTGTTGCATGTCTAATGTATCTTTATATTTTCTTCTTTTACCACTTGTCAGTGGCGAATCTAGAACAAAAATCAACGTGGTTCCTTATATAAATGAAATGGAAAAAACTATGAAAATGTAGGTCTTTTGTCAAAAATAAGGTAGTTCCTTATGTTTTTTTATATAGAATTGTTGTATTAAAAAAGAAAAAAAGTAGGTCCTAGGACCCACCTTCACATAGTGTAGCTACGCCCCTGCCACTTGTCCACTTGGCAACAACAAGATATGATTAATCTGTGTAAGTATGTTGTCAAGTATAAGGAGATCAGGGTTCGCATTGAGAATGAGAAAACACATATACGTATGTACTTTATGTCCCATGTTAAAGTAATTAGTGAGGAGATTGATGACATATCATATAACTATAGTCAGAAGTAAGAAAAGAGTAAGGAAACATGGTCTTGTAATAAGAAACTATATTTTGAATGGAATAAATATGTTTATTTTTACCAGGTAATTGATGTTGATAATCCCAATAGCACCTAATACTGCAAAATTCGATAGACAATACTAGGTCGGTAGACTAGAAGTATCAAGTACTCGAATTGGATAAATTATAAAGAATAAATAAAACAGATATTATAAATTCATTAAAATTTATAACAAAAAATAGAGGAATATCAATACCAAGGAAAATCTTCAAATGTTAAAGTGTTAAACTATTTCCAAAATCGATATTTATTCTTTGATATTATGGCAATCATTTAATTCTTATTCTTCCTTTTTTTTTGTTATTTTTCCATCAAATTTGTATTAAAATGAACAAAATAACAATTGAACAACAAAAGTTTAATAAATAACTAAATATATTATATGTGTAAAAATAATCACTTAACAATTATAGTTATCTATTTTGAAAAAAAATCAAAATGTAACATCCCAAAAATACAGTCTAAAAAAATTTCGTTATAATTTAATAATAAAACCATAAATAACTTCTTCACATAAAAATCATAAGTCGTGTATCAGGTTTCATATCAAAATATATCAGAGTATAAACATCCCAGGCTAAACAAATGGTGTGTGCTCTGCAATCTTCCCGAGCTCCTCGTTTGAAAACTGAATACCTTGAACCAAAACTAAAAACTGTAAGCACGAAGCTTAGTGAGTCTCCCCATACTACCACATACCATACACATAATCACAAGCAAATAGGTGAGATCGATGAGGGTCATGTCATGGTCCACCATATAGTACTCTCTAACGAACTCATTATATGATTCAGGAAGCGACTTAAGAACCCAGTCTATAGCCAGCTCCTTGGGGAAGACAACACCCAACATACCCAACCTGTCAATGTGTGACTTTATCTCTAAGACGTGTGTACACATAGATTTTCCATCTTCGTGCTTACTTGCCAATAGGGCTTAAGTGAGCTTTAACTTTTCAAGCCTTTGAACTTGTGGGTCAGGGAGAACAATTGGAGGAGGTGGAGAGAATGAAACATGATCTCTTGTTCCTCGATCGTATCGTGGAACATCATCTTTAAAAGATTCAGGAAGATCATAGTTGTTTGACATCTACAAACGGGAGAAGATTCAAGTTAGTTAATAAGAATCCTTGATGTAACACCCAAATGAAACATCAAGGCTAGGGTCCAACACAATACTCTACAACCTAAAAGAGGGATGTCGTCATCTAGTTGCATAATATTTGAAGGTAGGTAAATGACGATTTACCAATTTCCACCATGAAAAACGAAAATGAAGTTTAAGTTTTAAATGAATTGAAACTCCTAGATCTTTTGAGATTCATTGAACTTTTCAATGGCATTTTTAATCTCGATTATGCCCTTCAAGTCTACGAATGGGATGCTGAGGATCACAAACAAGGTGTGAATAACCATGCGAATCTACGTAGTGCACTCAATGCTACTATCACCTAATCAATGTGTCGGTTAGCCACACACGTTCCATTTGTAACACCCATAATCAGAAAGACCAAGAAAGGAAGGAAAACCCTAAGTCAAAGGGGTCAACTCGTCGAGTCCAAAGAGGAAGTCGACGAGTCAGAGCGTGACCCGTATCGCGGCTTAAGTGACCGACTCGGCGAGTCGGGGAGACTGACTCAGCGAGTCTAGTCTGGGTTGGGAAAACCCTAGTTCCGGGACCTGTACCATATTTAGGCATCTCATTCTCCTTCTATCAGCCTCATTTGTAGCCCCCATTATCTAGAAGCTATCCCACGAAACCCTAGTTCTCTCTTTGAGTGTGTGAGCCATTATTAAAGGATTTTGAGTGTTCTTGAAGCCTAGAAGGAGAAGAAGGAGTCGAGGGTTCAAGAGGAAGGTTGTGGATCCAAAAGATTCATCTCTTTTGCTGCTCATTTTGGTAATCAAGTTCCTTCCTTGTGTTGTTATTTGTTAGATCTCTTCATGTCCCTCTTTATGAGATTTTGGACCAAGTATGATGCATTGCGGGATTAGGACGTCCCCAAGCTGGATCCCTTCAGCTCTAGGTGTGTCATGGCCTAGAGACCCATAAAGTATCAGTTTTTGGTGTGTTGGTAAAGCATCTTTGCCCCAAGCCCTAGCCCTAGAGTGTTTTAAGCCCATATCTCTTTGGTTTCACGTAAAGTTTGCAACTTTACGTGAGGAATAGACTTGGGAAGAGTGGATCTACAGTTTGGAGCCCCAACATGGCTCGAAAAGCCACTATATGGATTAAGAACTGAAGCTACTCGACGAGTCACATGGGTGGACTCGGCGAGTTGTATGAAGATAGGAAGGAACTCTACGAGTTGGAAGAACAACTCGACGAGTCTGTTGAAGATTGTCGTGGACTTGACGAGTCTGTTCTTGGACTCAACGAGTTGGATCGTAGAACCTCAACCTTTTTTGGTTAAGACTTAGATCAGTGAGTTGAGTGGTGACTTAGTAAGTTGGTCAGGATGGGACTCATAGATCATTGGACTCGGCGAGTCGGCAGGGTGACTCGGCAAGTTGGGTCGTATTATGACAGGTTCAGAGTATATAGACTCGACGAGTCAACGGATTGACTCGGCGAGTAGAGTCAGTGAGGAGGTTTGACTTTGACCTGGACTTTGACTTTGACAATAATGGACTTAGTTAGCTTCTAGAGTTTAGTTTGGATATAAGTGATATATGTATATATATATATATATATATATATATATATATATATATATATATATATATATATAGCTCAGGGAGCTAGTGGAGCAGCGGTTTAGAGAATTGTCGGACAGCAACCAGAGGATTATCAGCAAGATCAGCAGTGTAGGTGAGTTTCCCTTTGTGTGAATGGGTCTACGGCCACAATGCCGACCCATGTAGTTATGAGTAGGAAGACCCGGGGGTTAGGCCTAGGCACTGTTTACTAGTATGATATTTAGGACCAAGGTCTGATGTCGGGTGGGTGCCCAAGGAATGGTTTGC